CTTCAAATGCCCTCTTGGGGACTGTAAGCTCCAAAAAACCCAGTATATAGACAAGACAACAACATCTCTTTCTAGGCGTTTAACGATGCATAAGCAACAGGGCTCCATTAAGGAACATATAATCTCTTCCCACAACCAAACCATCGCCAGAGAAATCCTAGTAAACAACACAGAAATCATCGATAGATACAGCGATAGCAGGCGGCTTGACGTCTGCGAGGCACTACACATCAAGAAGTCAACACCAGCAATCAACAGCCAATTAATGCACAACTATATTCTACCCACCTCAAGACTCCGCTCCAATATAGAAGCATCATGAAATATGGACCAATAGGCTTTCTACAATCACTTCCATTCAATACCCATTGTTTCGTGTTCTGTCTTGTGTTTAGGAATTTAATACCCTATTAATACCACCTCACCCCATCCACCTCACTCAAATGTAGATATAAACAAATCGAAGATGTGTAAGTTCTATTCAGTTGTGTATGTGTAAACTAAAGTCTTTGAAAATGTAATAAGTTTTACGAAACGCGCTCAAGTGTCGCGTCAGACTAGAAATAAAAATGAATTTTGGAGAATTGATTTTTGAATTACCACCAACAGTGAAAAGAAACGTACGAAAGATCGAGAAAATTCGTGTTAGAATTATTAATCTTACTTTTTCGGTCATATTTAATAATATATGTCTACAGGAAAGACTGCTACCAAAATATACTAATATATATATATATATATATATATATATATATTTATTTATGCATATACAAGAATATACATAAGGAATGTGAGGATACAAATATGGTATATATATATATATATATATATATATATATATATATATATATATATATATATATATATATATATATATATATATATATATATATATATATATATATATATATATATATATATATATATATATATATATATATATATATATATATATATATATATACATATATATATATATTTATATATATGTATATATATGTATATATATATATGTATATATATATATGTGTATATATACATGTATATATATATGTATATATATATATATATATATATATATATATATATATATATATATATATATATATATATATATATATATATATATATATATATATATATATATATATATAATTTCACACTTGTCACGGCCCTGTGAACAAAACAAGAAATTAACACCACAATCTGGTATCACTCCACAATAATCAATTGCCAGGAATCCCTGACGTTACACATTGACACTAACCTGAGCGCTCAGTACTGGAATTCCACACCTGCAAGATTAAATATGAAATAATATCACTCCGTCCCACGGACGATCAAAAATGATTGAATTACCACAATTCTACCAGAATGGAATATAAAATGTTACATGGACATCCCTCTCAGTCCTTGGCTAATCTATGTATACTATGTTCCCGTGCGTACCCCATCACACACACACACACACATGTACGTCTGTGTACACAAGACGTAAATCCCTCTGGACTGACAAGATGTCGACAAGGGTGATTATCTCCTCCTCCACACTTCACTTCACCTCTACAGGTGCTGTTAGTGACAATGCGACGGAACACCTGACTTTGAATTCAGGCTTAAGAGAATATAAATCACCAGATATACACACATAAGTACTTACTCATTTATACGGGCGGCCTCACACACTCACACAATTACCATACATCAGGCACCCCGCTGCGGATGGCTAGTCATGGCGGTGGAGGCTGGGTGGAGCTGATATCTCACGTGGAGCTGATACCTCACGTGGAGCTGATACCTCACGTGGAGCTGATACCTCACGTGGAGCTGATACCTCACGTGGAGCTGATACCTCACGTGGAGCTGATACCTCACGTGGTTTCCTTCGTACAGGATGGCGTGACGCATCTTTCGAACCCTGCCTCACAACACGGCCCGGTTCGCACCCTCAACCCACCGGTGAAGCAGAGCATTCATACCCAGGTGACGCGCACAACATATAGCGTCTTACACAAACATGGGAAATCTGCCTTAAAACACTTACACGAATTTCCCCGTTCCCATCGATAGCTACAGAGCACTAGCAGGAATTTGAACGTCTATAATCACTGATATGGGGATCCACGAGTCTGTTACTGCTCGTATGCAAATTACCCACGTCCCAGATTTTTCTCACTCGTTCCCTATCTATCTACTCCTCGACGATGACTCCAGCTGGATTCTGACTGTGCAGCTGGCGGTCTTGGTGGAGGCAGCAGTAGAAAAGCTGAGGAGACAGTCACCATGACATCGTCTTGCCCCATTTGGCCAAATGGGCAAGAGAGAGACGTCAGGCTATGGGGGTGACTGGAGCAGAATGATGCCTTGAGGGAGAAACACCGGCGATTCCCCAGTCCTCCTCGAAAGAGCCAATGAGAGGGAGGCACACAATAGCCTAACTCTCTCAACCAATCAGCGGCGGTGTAGCATGGCCCTAGGGCAACTCAAGATGGCGGCTCAAGATGGACGCCTGCCGTTGCCATGACGACGATGCTAGAGCCCGCGGGAAGCCCACACTTACCAGGCCTCAATATTACCGCGCAAATCTTGAGTCCTCGCTCCAAGCCATACAATGAAATGATGCTATCGGCTATATCTCTGTTCACAGATGTGCTACCCTGGCCAGGGGTAACATTTCTGGAATGCTGATGACTGGGGCTCTCACATGAGCCCAAACACAAGGTGTTTCGGGTACATGTTACCAAACTTAGGTCCGCGCACTTAACAAGTGTACTGACTTCCACAGGCATAAGAGCACCATTGTAAGTGAGCTGGTGAACCATTCCCTCACAGCCACCTCCATTAATTTGCCTCTCCATGTATCCTCTCCTCCATGCGGTTCCTTGTTCTCCCAATCTATCCTTCCGTGATTGAAGTCGCCCATAATGAGCAGATGGGATCTATTTCTACAGGCAGCAGAGGCTGCCTTCTCAATTATAGTGTTAACTGCCGTGTTGTTGTTGTCATACTCTTGCCTGGGTCTTCTGTCATTTCGTGGAGGGTTATATATCACTGCTACTACTACTTTTGGTCCTCCCACTGTCATAGTTCCTGTTATGTAGTCTCTGAATCCCTCGCAGCCCGGGATGACCATCTCCTTGAAACTCCATTCCTTTCTCATTAGTAGGGCCACTCCACCTCCTCCCCTTCCCTCCCTCTCTTTCCTTATTACAGTGTAGTCCTGGGGAAACACCGCATTCATTATGATTCCTGAAAGTTTTGTTTCTGTGAGTCCAATTACATCTGGGTTCACTTCTTGTGCTCTTTCCCTTAGTTCACTTGCCTGGCTTGTGATCCCATCTATGTTCGAGTACATCACCCTGAAACTGACTCTCTTCTGTCCCTTCACAGATCCTATTGCTTCCCCTGAAGCGGGGAAACATGGAGGAACGGGGATGGGAGGGCCAATGAAGAGGGACCTGGGAGATCTGGGTTGTGCGGGGGTTACCTTGAGGTTACCTTGAGGTTACCTTGAGGTGCTTCCGGGGCTTAGTGTCCCCGTGGCCCGGTCGTCGACCAGGCCTCCTGGTTGCTGGACTGATCAACCAGGCTGTTAGACGCGGCTGCTCGCAGCCTGACGTATGAGTCACAGCCTGGTTGATCAGGTATCCTTTGGAGGTGCTTATCCAGTTCTCTCTTGAACATTGTGAGGGGTCGGCCAGTTATGCCCCTTATGTGTAGTGGGGCTGGGAGGATCCGGTACGGTGAGGAAGGTGTAGGGGGGAGGGTTTGAGGGGGGGTTGGGGAGAAAAGAGGGCATGGGGGTGGGGGAGGCTTGGGATAGATGGGTGAGAGGGGGAGGCTTGGGGAATGGGTGAGAGGGGGAAGGTTTGGGGAGTGTGGGAGAAGGGGAGGCTTGATAGGGGTGGGAGGAGGGAAGGTTTGGAGGGATGGGAAGGAATGGGGGGCTCGGGCGGGTATAACAGGGAGGAGGTCTTGGGGGGTGAGGTTGGGGGAAAGGGAGTGCAGAGTAGGTTGAGGAAGAAGGGAGGGCTCAGGCGGATGGGAGATACTGGAGAGTTTGGGAGGGCTGGGGGAGAATAGAGGGCTTGGGGGTGGGGGAGAAGGAAGGGCATGGTGGATTAGGGAGGGCTTGGGGGGGTGGGGGAGCCGGGAGATCCTTGGGAGGGGGGATCGGGGGGATGGCACCCAAGGTGGGCACCCAAGGTGGGCACCCAAGGTGGGCACCAGGAGTTGGGGCAGGAAGGGCATCATCATGTGTGTGTGTGTGTGTGTGTGTGTGTGTGTGTGTGTGTGTGTGTGTGTGTGTGTGTGTGTGTGTGTGTGTGTGTGTGTGTGTGTGTGTGTGTGTGTGTGTGTGTATGTATGTGTGTGTGTGTGTGTACTCACCTAGTTGTACTCACCTAGTTGTGTTTGCGGGGGTTGAGCTCTGGCTCTTTGGTCCCGCCTCTCAACCGTCAATCAACAGGTGTACAGATTCCTGAGCCTATCGGGCTCTGTCATATCTACACTTGAAACTGTGTATGGAGTCAGCCTCCACCACATCACCCCCTAATGCATTCCATTTGTCAACCACTCTGACACTAAAAAAGTTCTTTCTAATATCTCTGTGGCTCATTTGGGCACTCAGTTTCCACCTGTGTCCCCTTGTGCGTGTTCCCCTTGTGTTAAATAGACTGTCTTTATCTACCCTATCAATCCCCTTCAGAATCTTGAATGTGGTGATCATGTCCCCCCTAACTCTTCTGTCTTCCAGCGAAGTGAGGTTTAATTCCCGTAGTCTCTCCTCGTAGCTCATACCTCTCAGCTCGGGTACTAGTCTGGTGGCAAACCTTTGAACTTTTGTGTGTGTGTGTGTGTGTGTGTGTGTGTGTGTGTGTGTGTGTGTGTGTGTGTGTGTGTGTGTGTGTGTGTATTCACTGACCTGCCTGTTTTACCGTGGTGTAGTGTACATTTCTCTAATAAGACAACTCCTCCGTCCCTAACTGTGGCGGCAACAGAGAACCTGGAGAGGGAACTGGAGGAGCATCTGAGCAACATAGAGGAGATCACCGGCTTCCTCAAGATCTTCCGCTCCAGCCTCACCTCCCTCAGCTTCCTCAACAGCCTCACCAGGATAGGTGGAGAGATACTCCTCCACAACAAGTAGGTGCTGGATGACGTTCTAAGGGAAAGGGAGAACTTAAGAAGAGGTTCTAGATGTGTTAAGATTCCTAGCGGTCTGCAGATAGCAGTGAGTGCAATTAATAATGAATTATCAGGAATTATCAGGCGAAAGCGCCAAGCCGGGAGCAGTTAATAGTTAGGAGAAATTATTAGAATATTTTGGAGGGAATGATTAGGAAGAGTAGCAGCAGTGTAACACAAAGGAGAGCACAGTCTGTGTACTTACCAAAGTGTCGTTACAAGATGAGAGCTACGCTCGTGGTGTCCCGTCTTCCCAGTACTCTTTGTCATATGTCATTTGAAGTTAATAACGGTTTTACTCTCAGCCACCTCCTCACTTTGTGTGTGCGTGTCTGTATACTAGCCTATTTGTAACACCTATGCAGGCTCATGCCTTCACGCTCGAACATTTACTCTTGGATCCCGCTTTTCTAGCCCCCAGTTGCTTAAAGCAATGATTCCTGTCCTATTTCCCTATCATATTGCCCTGCTTCCTCATTTTTTTTCACCGTCGTTAGGTTCAGTTCCTTCAGTCGCTCTTCATACACCATCCTTCGCAATTCTGGGGTGAATCTCGTCTCAAACTTCTGAACCTTTTCCAGTTTCCTTCTATGTTTCTTCAGATGGGGACACCATGATGGGGGCTGCATACTCTAAGACTGGTCTTACGTAGGCAATGTAAAGCCCCTAAATGCTTCCTTACTTACGTTTCTGAATGATGTTCTAACTTTTGCTAGCATAGAATACGCTGCTATTGTTATCCTATTTATATGTGCCTCAGGAGTTAGATTCGGTGTTACGTCCACTCCCAGGTCTCTTTCTCGGGTCGTCACAGGAAGGTAGTTTCTCTTCATTGTGCACTGTCCCTTTAGTCTCCTGTCACCTAGACCCATTTCCATAAATTTACACTTGCTCTCATTGAACAGTGTTTTGCTCTTGTCAAACACTTATAAAATAAGAACACCAGTTAACTATATGGTAGGAACAAAACTCATATATAAATACAGATACAATAATAATCACTGTACACAGGCTTATGACCACTGACACATTTAAAGATAAATAATATATGACTTTAGTAATAAGACACATGAAATACCAGACTCGTTGACAACACCTAGGAGCAAACATCCACTCTACTTAACTTACGTCTTGCAGCCAGCTCTACCACCTTCCAACTGCTGCCCACTCCTTCTGCTTCCTCACACGTGAGCGAGGCTCAGATAAATAATACCAATCGCCACAAACAACACATCTCCATCAGCGACACTTCCCTACTGAGATAGTCACTCTCAAACACTTCTAAACAAAAGTATGTAATATTTCATACATTTTGGAATAACAACTCAAATGAATAGGCTTCTCAAAAGGAAAACAAGTATTAATGGAATGCAATGCAAAACTGGCAACAGTTATGCCCACCAACGCACATGAAATGTTCCCTGTCTAATACGGGTCCGATTATACAGTTGGGCAGCACTAACAACCTCTCATACCACCCAATACAATAGGAGAATACAATGGTCTTCCAGGACACACGTCCACAGAATGATATGACAGTACTACAGCACTGAAAACAGTATAGGTAATTTTGGTAATGTATAACAAAAATGAGGTGTGATGAATGTATAAATATGCATACATTAACATAGTGAGAAATCAGGTCACTACCTAGTTGGTAACAAACTGGTCCCAGCACCGATCCTTGAGGTACTCCACTCACTACTGTTCGCCAGTTCTACTTCTCACCCTGGAGTTGTTGCCTGGAGTTACGTGAGGAAGGGTGCTGTTTGGCATGTCAGCGCCATGGAGACCCCTCTTCCCCCCTCTTCGCCGGACGGAGACCGTTGGTTTGGAGTTTTCAGGACGTGCTTCATACTTTGCTCTTGAGGTTGTGTTGTTGGACATGTTACGTGTTCGTGTGGACGAGGTGTACGGACTCCAGCTCCTGACTACCCACCGAACACAAGTGAAATTAAACTGCACGGCGGTGTACAAGGAGTTTGTCGCCCACTATGATGGACGAACATTGACCCTCCCTGGGGACGACGGTACGGTCGCCATTTCCGACTGCTGCTGCTCTATTATTTATGTGGCATTGCATAGTGTGCCCTTCAAGTTTTCGGAGGCCCTTCTGTAGAGATACTTTGGCCAATATGGTACGGTGGTCTCCCTCCGCATGAACTCCATCTCTTCCGGCAGATGATGTGGGGTCTCCTGTGGTACACGGACTCTCACCTTGAGACTCAAGTCCCCAGTTCCCTCCACAGTTACCTTGCTGGGGTACACTCTGCGGGCATTCTATGCAGGACAGCCATGCTCCTGTTTTTGTTGCGGCCTTGAGGGGTACCTGGCGGCTGCTTGCACTGGGTTCGTGGCTGCACCTGTTAATCTGTTCTAGGAAGAGGATTTTCTCCCGTTGGTGGCGCAGGACTTGTCGTCTCGTGATAGAGTGGGTGGGGAGGTTCCCCTGCCGCCTGCTGACCCGGTGGTGGTTTTGAGTTCCCCGACTGCTGACCCAGCGTGTGTAGATGGTGGTGTACACGACGAAGTGGTGGTGTGTGCGGCTCTGCCCCCACAGTCTGTCTCTTCGCTTCCGACAGCTTCTGCACCCGTTTCCACCTCTGTGCCTCTGTTGCCTTCGACATCCCTGCAGGCTCTCTTACCTGTGTTGATCCCTTTCCCTCCTCCGGCCGTGCCTGTTCTTTCTCCTGTCTACTCTGTGGGTGGCGGTCTCGTCCCCCATGTCGCTGAGGCTGACATTCTGCGGGGTCGAGCTCCCCCGGTTGTGGGGCGGCCTGCCGCCAGCTCTTCTCGGGTGCCTCCTGCAGGGGGTGACAGCTCCGATGACCAACGACCTGTCCCCAAGCATTCACGTACGGATACGGGTGCTTCGCCTCCTCGTACGTGGGCAGAGGAATGTGAGAATGCAGCGTGTGTTGATATTTCTTCTGCGATCTGTTCCTCTGTGGAGTGCAAGGATGGTGCGTCTGGTGCTGGTGTGGTTCCGGTGGATGGTATGGGCCCCTGGTGTGGTTCCTGCTGTAGGGATGTGTGCTAGTGTGTGGCCTGTGGCTCTTGATTTGGGTTCGTCGTCCGCGTCGGATAGCACCAGTTCCTCGTGAGGGGTGGTTCCTCCTTGCGAGGTTGAGGGTGAGGGTGGCGACCTGGTGGTGGTGCTGAAGAAAACTGCTCCCCCGTCCCCTGTTTTGCCGGCAGCGGTTTTGTTGCCCCTCACGACTCTGGCCATTACTTCTGTGTCTCATGTTTTGTCGGAGGTGGTGTTGCCGCCTCGGCAGCCTCCGCCCACTGTTCTGGTATCTCCTGCTTCCACGGCGGCGGTCTTCCTGCCTCACTTGACTAGTTCTTCGTCTTCGGTGACCTCTGGTTGGGGGAGTGTGCTCCCACCGGGTTTGGTGGTTCCAGAGTATATGATGTGCCTGCGGCGTCGTGTTTGTCGTTCCCCTTCCGAACAGAGGTATTTGATATGGGAGGCTTATAAGCGGAAGTATCCATCGTGGAAGTTCCCTGAGAAATATCCTCCTAAATGATTACTGTGTGTTGTGGTGTTGCTTGCACATGGGGTGCATGGTTGTGGGGTGGGGTTGCATGTGTGTGTCTGGGTGGGGCGGGTTTTGTTTTCCGGTTCCTGCATGTTCCGGTTTTTTGTTTGTTGGTTTGCTTGTGTGTGTGTCTATGGGTCTGTGTCTTTCAGTATCTGCTCTGTGTAGTTAGATGTGGTTTTATACCTCCGGCTCTGTGTCTTGTGCGTGGCTGGTTGTACTGTTGCAGTATTGTTGCTGGTTGTATAAGCAGCAGTATTGGTAAAACAGTGTTTCACTCTATCATACCCTAGACGAAACTTTATGGCAAGGCCGAATGTACTAATTTTTTATCACTGCAAGCAAAAGAACCATATCTAGGTTTCAAGGGTTGTAACATAGTAGTAGTAATAGTAACAGTAGTAGTAACAGTAGTAGTAGTAACAGCAGTAGTAGCAGTAACAGTAGTAGTAGTAGTAGTAGTAGTATTAATAATAACCGTAGTAGTAGTAACAGTAGTAGTAGTATTACTAATAGTTGTGGTAACAGTAGTAGTAATAGTAGTAGTAACAGTAGTAGTAATAGTAGTAGTAATAGTAGTAGAAGTAGCAGGCAGCAGTAGTAGTAGCATCAGCAGTCTCAGTAGTAATAGTTGTAGTACTGAATGTGGTAGTAGTAGTAATATCAGTAGTGGTAGCAATAATAGTAGTAGTAGCAGCAGTATTGGTAGTAATTGTAATAGTACTGGTAGTGATAGCAGTAGTAGTAGTATGATGACCAAACCACACATCTGAAGACGAAGAAAGGACGACGATTCGGTCCGTCGTGGACCATTATCAAGTCGAGTGAAGTAGCAACAGTAGCAGCAGCAGTAGTAGTGTTGAATATTCCTGAATCCGTATATATATTTTGAGCACATTTTGTTACTTTTTCTCTATCCAACTTTTTCTGAGGTGGCAGCGTGAGCCGCGGAGAGTAATGTGACAGGGATAGCGACAGTTAGTTAGCTTCTCCAGCATTAATATTCAGCATGAGCCTATTAGTGCATTAATTTCTGGTTTACCCCACACGTTTGTTTATTACGTTCACCCCAGCTATGTTTGTTTACATTTGTTTGTCTTAGCCTCCGCCTCCCTCATACACGCACAAGTAGTGCGTGTGTGGCTCTTAAGGGAGCCTAGTAGTCCAGGTGTGGGAGCGTCCTCCACGGTCTCACACTCCACAGGTCAAGCCCATATTATTTGTGTATACAGACACAGCCATGGCCAGGGACTAGTACACTGACACACTCGGACTCAACACATACAACGACTCAAGAAACACAATGACTCAAGAAATAAAAGAACTCAGGAAAGATCAATTTTGTTTGCTAACCTACTAGGGAAGAGAGGAGACCTAGATGATTATCATGCCCTTCAAATTAATCTAGATAAAATA